AAACAGAAATGCAAAAATTATCAGCAAACGTTATTGAGGTAATTTTAAATTACGTAAAAGTAAAAAACAATTTTATTCATTGTTTCAAAAACAGTATCATCACATACAGACACACACTCATTTACCAGCGTGTAAAGGAGAAAAGATAATACAAATGATCTGCCATCTTTCCATTTACCATCATCATCAATTTCAGCATAGAAAAGGAAAAGAAAGTGAAACAGTTACACAAGAAGCCTCTATTGCACCGTTAAAAACAATGTTGTGTTCACTGTTCATTGTTTTGCTCCGTTTCCGAATTTGGCAATTGGGAAGAAAGTTCCCTGCTAAATTATTGAGAACAGTAATACTCAATTCGAGAATTCACATCCACGGCGGTTGCGGTTTGTAAATGGAACACACTTTTGGCTTTTGGCTTTCAGTTGAAAAAGAAATAAGTTAGATTTTTATTGTCGTTTTAGGCGGTTAATTTTGTTTTGTTATCTTTGCCTGCCTGCTCGTCTTCGTAAGATGCCTGCAAAAGTGAAGTGGTCTTTTCTGGTGATGACTGCACTGCAAGTGTGCCTGGTCCTTGGCCCCTTTTCCTCCGGTGCAGTCTTTGTTAACGGCACCCAGAACAGCACTGGAAACAGCACTGGTAAGAGAAACAGAGGACCACCACTTCAAGTCAAAGTGTTCTTTTAAAATTTGGGTTTTTGTGTTTTACTTTACTATTTTGTCGTACCAAACGTCACATGTTTCTGACGCCTGACAGAAAGTTTTTTCCAGTCTCTTTTTTCTAGCTTTTTCCCTGGAACGCAAAAAAACTGGTTGCCATTGAATGAGTGCATCTACTCGGTTTTTTGTGCCGTGACACATGTGCAATTAATTTGCATGCTTTTTATCTTCGTTGTTATTATTTTTCCCTAAACTGCCACAGCTACTTTATTATTATTTTTGCCATTTTATCCCTTTGCAGCCGTTTTGGAGGTTTCCACGCCGTCCGTGGAGGACAGCACTGACTTTGCCTTCCGTCAGGCGGTGGTGGAGGAGCACAACCGGTACCGAGGACGACACCGCCTGACTGGTCTGCTCACCGAAGACACCGACCTGCTGCAGATAGCACAGCTAAAGTGTCACAGTTATGCACTCAAGGTCAGTCTCCAGCTACTGCTTTGGATGTAATCACAAGACTGTTTTTAAATTTAGGGCGTCAGGAATGTTCAGGAAAAGCTCTTCAGCGTAGGCTTCGGCTTCAGTGAGAACCTCTGGTCCGGGTGGACGGCGGTGAAGCCGACGCTTGAGATGCCGCTCATTGAGACGGCTAAAGTGGTCTCTGACTGGTACCTGGAGGGTGGCATGTACCTCTTTGACCACCAGACAACGCCCATTTGGAACAGCAAAACGGCTCACTTCTCTGCCATGATCTGGAACGCCTCAAAGTCGGTTGGCTGTGGGCGGTGTGTGGCCACAAAGGAGGGTGAAGTGGGCGCGGAGACGCTGGTTCTCTGCCTGTACTACCCACCAGGCAATGTCATTAATCGATACGCTCGCAGCGTTAATCCGTTGAATTGAAAAGGGAATGCTTGCTCACCTAGATTTAAAAGTGAGCGTTGGCAAAATTAAAAATGTTTATTTTACTCTTTAAATGTAGCTGAAAATGACATGTTTTTCTGAAAAGTGGTCAAGGTTTGGTGAAAAAGTGTGTAGATGTGCAAAATTAGCTTTTTCGATATTATTTGTTGCAGTTTTTGCGTCAAACAAATTGTACAAACTCATATTTTTAGTCCAAGATGAAATTTTTTATTTTGTTTTCAGGTAAAAATTCCTTTTGAATAAACGTTTTTAAACATTTTAATCCTTTTTTAGTATTTTCAATCGCTTCTGGTTGGCTATTTGCTAATCCATTCAACTATTTCAGACCAGCCATTAACATTACGAACAGCACAGACGCTTGGACTTTGAACAGCACAAACTTCACTGACATTGAAGACACTGAAAAGTATTTCAATATTTCAGATTTTTCAGATATTGACTTAGAAGCCCTCTGTACTCTAAATGACTCCAACTCAACAAGTTTTACAAGCNTTAGTCCAAGATGAAATTTTTTATTTTGTTTTCAGGTAAAAATTCTTTTTGAATAAACATTTTTAAACATTTTAATCCTTTTTTAGTATTTTCAATCGCTTCTGGTTGGCTATTCGCTAATCCATTCAACTACTTCAGACCAGCCATTAACATCACGAACAGCACAGACGCTTGGATTTTGAACAGCACAAACTTCACTGACATTGAAGACACTGAAAAGTATTTCAATATTTCAGATTTTTCAGATATTGACTTAGAAGCCCTCTGTACTGTAAATGACTCCAACTCAACAAGTTTTACAAGTTCAAATACTATCGATCCTAGTTTAGCAATTTCTAAGTATACTGACCATTCTAGCGATAAATCTTCAAAATTTAATCACATTAACTCAAGTTTTTCCCACAACTACACAACTTCAAACTCCACCGATTTTGCCTTTAACATAACCGAAGTTTGCACCTTTTTTAACGCTATAAATGTAAACATTACTGACACCGCTACCACTACTGATGAACTGACCACCAATCCACCTGAGTGCAACTCCAACAACTGTGACCAACTGTTACCGCTAATGAACTGGAACAACCTAACGATGATCGTGTGGCCTAGCACTGAACAGGAAGCCATTGAGTACTGTGATCACTGGGCAAAATATGGACTTTGTTTGGAGAAGTACTCCACGGCAAAGAAGAGCGACTGCATTCGCCGAGATGTAGTCATTGAGGATGACCAGCTGACGATGTCTCTGGTGGAGAAGTACCACAGCCTGGTGTGCCAGAACTCTAGCACAATGGTCAGCTTTATTGATCGCGCCGCCTGTTATCTGCACCCCTCAGTGCTTGAAGATATCTTCACTGCACGCTACCAGTGGAAGGCAATGACCTCCTGGGATCAAGTTTGCGCCACTCTCTGGTTTATTGAGTCTATTAGATCCTCTATGGATAGAAACTGTGAGGCCAGTGTCGCCGAAAGCTATCAGGCTATGGTTGATGTGGTAAGTGCCGCTTGTTGTAAGTTGAAACATGATCTAATAACAAACTTTGCCTTGTAGCTACTAGGCACTGCAAATAAAGCTACCGGCCTTTTTCGCACTTACAAATCCTGTCGTGACAGCTTGTCTGGACCCAGTCAGAAGTTTTTGGACTTTATCACCGGTATTGCCGATCACCGAATTCTCTTTAAGTTTGGCGAGACGAGCATGAAAATTTTGCGGTTTGGCAAAGAGCTAGCTCCACAAAACTACAGTTCATTCAGTTTTGAACGGGGTGGAAATGTGAATGGGGCGGAACAGCAAGGAAAGGGACGATCGTCATCGATGTACATGACTTTGCTGTGGTATAAGGTAAGTAATACCTTCTCGTGAAACCTTTAGGCATTCAACAAAATGTCAAAGTTGTTTCACTATTATTTGAAAAAACTTGTTTTTAGTTCTAAATGTAAAAATAACTTGTTTGTCAATGTGAAACTGTCAAAACAACAGCAACAGAAAAAAATGTCTGAATAAAATTATCCACATTTAGGCGCTCAAAACCACCAAATAATAAAAAGTTTCCATTTGCTAATTAAAATAAAAAGTTTTACTGAGAACAATAAGAAGAACTCTTCTCAACTAATACTGCACTACATTTTTTTCTACACAAAACTGTTTGTGAATGATGCACATTATGATCAGCTCATTAGGATGCAGAAAGTAAAAACTAGAAGTTCTACTTGACAAGCACTAACATTAGCATTCAGCTGAGATAAAATATAGTGAACAAAGTTAGTAGTAGGGTTTAGCAGCGTCTTTAATCCATTCGAGGTAAGGATACACTTCAGTGTAGAGCATGGGCGAGGCCTTTGAGCAGGTGCCGCTGCCGCGGGAGGTGATGCCAATCAGCTGCGATCCACCGGAGACGCCGTTCTCCGTGAACACTGGTCCGCCATTGTCGCCCTAAAGATGGTTTTGAAAAAAACAAATGTGTTGAACTTTTGAGCACTTGTTTCTCTACTCAAATTTACCTCACACTCTCCCCCGTCCTCCTCCTGCTGGGCAGCACAGAACTCATTGTCATTTCGGTACACCGTGCACTCCACCTTCTCCACCGGTTTCAGCTGCAGCTTTCCCCTCAGCGTAGCGTCCTCCTTCAGCGCTCCCCAGCCTGAAACGAACAANCTCCTGCTGGGCAGCACAGAACTCATTGTCATTTCGGTACACCGTACACTCCACCTTCTCCACCGGTTTCAGCTGCAGCTTTCCCCTCAGTGTAGCGTCCTCCTTCAGCGCTCCCCAGCCTGAGACGAACAGCTGATCGGTGATTGAGCCAGAGGCTAGGGGCAACTCCGGATAGCAGATTGAGTTGAGCTTTCCATCCGACTTGGCAAAGTCCAGTCCGGTCGCCAGACGGAGGACGGCCAGGTTGTTCTGCCCAGTGGCTTTGTTGTAGTCAGGGTGGGCGACCACCTTTTCGGTGTAGGCGAGGCCAGGCGTCAGCTGACCGGGGTAGGTGAAACGACGACGACGGACGAAGCCTCCTTTTGGCAGGTCGACGATGCCGCCTTCGATTCGCACAAAACCGGCGTTCATTCTGAAGGACAACGGAGAGAGAAAGGTCAAATTATTCAATATCTTTACTCTCAATCACTTACCCATCAACACAGCTGGCCGAAGTGAGCACCGCCTGTTTGCCAATCAGCGCTCCACCGCAGGAGTGCCGCCAGGTGGCCCCCACTCCCTTCGACATCACCGAAACCTCCCAGACGACCTGACCGAGGGCGGCATCGGTGGTGGTGTTCTGCTGGCCGTCCACCACCACCGAACCGATGCCACAGGGACCAGGGGCGGCGGTGGTCGGCGGGCCGCCGCCACTTCCTCCTCCCCAGCTGAAGAAAGCCCCGCTCGAGGAGTGAATGAGCAGCAGAGAAGTGCACAGCACCAGTGTCAACTTCATCGTAGTCAGAGTGTGGGAATGAAATGAGTAAGANGCCCCGCTCGAGGAGTGAATGAGCAGCAGAGAAGTGCACAGCACCAGTGTCAACTTCATCGTAGTCAGAGTGTGGGAATGAAATGAGTAAGAAGGATTTAGTTAGGTTGGATAAGTTGTTGCTGCAGTTTTGATTTGCTTGTCTTGATTTTTCCCTCAGTTTCTGAGTTTGATTTGCTGTTGTACGATAACGGCAGTGTTTATATACTCATCATCAGCTCATCATCTCGGGTAACTCAATTGCCCAGTGCAATGGTGGTCTTTCATGACATTGCCATCATATGTTGCTGGGGACATAAAAAGTAGAAAATGAAAGTGGCGGCTGCGACTGAGGTTTCAGCTCAAAGTCGATCTAAAGA